AACCCTAAATTAATCGAAAAAATTATTAAATATAAGTTGCCTCCGCTTTAGACGTCCCCCAAAATAGGAAATCAAAATAAGCCAAACTAAGAACTTAATTGGTTAAATTCAAGATAATCACAAAATTGATGTGCAAATCGAAAATATCACACTAATGAAAATGCGTCGAATCCGCCCATATGAATTCAGCAAAATATGCACTAATAGGTTCAAGCCCAATCCATGGATCCAATAGCACAAACTGTAAAAAGGTTACTTATTAAATTAAGTTCGTCTTCGTGATTTTGACAGATAACGATGACGACATTCTATAATACTGGCCAATCAAATTAAATCTGGAATACCCATGGGCAGAGATGACACATTATAATATTGAACATTGGACCTATGAACAATATCCAATTTATCCAAATAATTTAATTGGACATTATGAGGTGAACATGTCAACACATCATTTGCCTGCTTGAGCCCTTTTTTTTTGTCCTTAACATTTTGAAGAAGCATTTCTTTTTACTAACTTGCTTTTTTGTCATAAAATTTTTTACTGCCAACTTTGTTACATTTACAAGATCAAAGGTACTGACCTGATCAAAAATGAAAGAAGTAAAAGCACTAAACGTAATTAAAAAAAAAACTTATATAGCAAAGCCGTAATTGATTACCTTATAATTTAATAATGCCACTATTAGAGTTAACTTCGTGACGAATAATATGAATCATGATAGGAATCGTGATCCGAATTTAAATTGAAAAATAAAATAATTAAAATCCAGCCTTTACAAAATAAAGACATTAGAGAAAGCAAAATTTAGAGCATAGTAAAATTTGCTTGACAATATATAGTTAATGCCACTAAAATTTAACTTAAAATTTATTAGTCTTTATTATATTTTAACTTTGACATATTAGGCCGCACAAAGTTAATTTTTCGGTTTTTTTTTTTTTTTTTACATGGATAGTATAGTCCATGCGAAATGTGGTGTGACTTATAGGGATACACTTAGAAAGGTTTGACTGTAATAAATTTTAATATTGTAATAATATTAAAATTACAAGATGAAGAATTCTTAAAAAAAAATATTAATTGCAAAGAAAACAAAAGCAAAAATGCAAATACAGATAAAATAAATATTTATAAAATAAATTAAAATCTAATCCAAATATATTTTCTCTCACTATGTTAATTTTGGTTTAATAAACTATCTTTTTGTGTTATCATATTCCATCGTACTAGATACTATTGATAGACTATTCCATCGAGTTTCTCCTGTGCCACTATTCTATTTACTTTATTTTTTGTATGATTCTCCCGAAATTTGGTATAGCTATAGGGCCTTCGGTATTTCTTGACTCAAGCGGTATTATTTGTTTGCAATTCTAAAATACGTAGATAACCGAATTGCACTGTCCTTAAATCGGTAGATTCATTAAATACTTCATGAAGATCAAATAAAATAAAAATAAAAAATAAAAATACCTAGTCGCTGTATATGCAGCTGCACTAATGTTACGGGAGAACCCCAAATATTTCGCATAATCCGAATCCGAAATTCGGGCGATACTAGTTTCGACCAACATGCAAATTTCCGAAATGTCCGTAATTGCCCATATTATAGACTCAATCCGAAGAGCCCGAAATTGTCCGAGACTATGATTGGTCATGTTCAAAAACGTGATCCAATTATTTTTGTTAAAAATTCTGTGATTAGACAATCGAACACGCGAGAAGTTTCGCTGCCCAGTTTCAACTACTGTTAAACTTCCAAAACCGATATGCATGGTTGACAGATTTTGGATTTGATAACATTATAAACGATTAGGTTCGTACCGTTAAACCAATCCAATAACCTGTCAAATCTAATAAAAAATTAATTCACCACGTCTGCTTCCGTTATATGAATCTAATAGCCTATAATGTTTTCAAATCTGATAACTTTCGATACTGACAAAATCTGTTCACCATGCATATCAGTTTTGGGGTTTAACAGTATTCAAATCCGTGAATATTTCACATTAACTACTTATATATGTGTAAAGTTGTTAATTTATCAGTACACTTGGAATATGTATAAATAATTAGGATCACAATGTATCCATTAAAGAATTGAACATTTCATTAAAAGATACATACTTTAAACTTGCCAAAACTGAAACAGACTTGGTGGATTAATTTTTTATTAAATCTGACAGGTTATCGACTTTGACAGAATTGGTTTTGGGAATTCAGTAGTATTTGAAATATGCTATTCAAATTGATATAAATAGTCTATTGGATAGGATAGGATAGGTAACACTTCGCGCACTTATTATTATAGAATTTGAATTTCGAATAATATCAGAAATATCAGAAGTGTCGGATTTTATCAGATTTATATCAGATTTTTGTCTTGATTTCGGAATTTGGAAGTTTTATTTCGGATCACTTATTACAGCTATTTTCATTATTCCTGGGACACCTATAAAAAAACTTGCCGAAAAATTTTTCGGCCGGTAATTTTTTCG